ATCTACATGTAAAAACAAGGGCCCTGGTCTTGTATAATTACTAGTCAGAGATTTGATGGTTGTTTAGATAAGAAATACAGACCTGGTGATACTCTGAGAGGATGTTGTGCATTTCCTCCACCTCCTCACTGGAAATCTCTTTAACCACCAAGGTGCGGTCATATGATGTCAGCAGCATGCCCACACTGTGCCCCTCCTCATCTTTGAGGGGGGGACAGTGGGCGAGAGACACCTATTGGTGAACAAGAGGAGAGCAACATTTTCACTGAGCCCCTTTATATACATTTTCAATGCAAATATCAACCTCTAGATTGAGCTATTTTTGTTATAATAATAATAATCATTCGCCTCACAGTGATCAGTAAAATCTTAAAAATCAGTTTTGAACTGATGCTTGCAAAGTGATGCGACTTTTCTTTCTTCCAGCTTCACAGTCTGACTTTAATCAGCACATGGTTCAAAGTGCACACACGGCTGCCTCATGTGATTGTGTGCTAACCAAATGATGACTCTCTGTGTCACCTGCTGCATGCAAATATCACACAAAGCAATTCAAATTCAGAAAGCAACACGTCAATATATGTAAAACAAGAAACTGTTGGGTTCTTTAAAATAAAACAGATGAAATATTAAATGTCCTGAGTAATTCTTCATTTTGAATCTTTTTTTTTTCATTTTCAGATTCAAGTTTACAATCTTACCCGGTAATCTTGGTCCTCGATGCCAAAGCGCTCTCGCAGGTTTCTGAACACCTGTGGACAGTACTCTTTGAATTTAAACTGCCCAGGTAGATTCTCTCTGAGGGAAAATAAGAACCTGCTTTAATACATTTTAAAAAATGGCACATTTTGTATCTTCTTGAATTGAAACCATGTAATGTAATTCCCAGTTTATGAACTATATAAGACACTTGATAAGTAACAATTAGATACATTGATATTGTGATGTTGGGTTTACATTCATGTACTTGTGTTAGTTAAGTAATGTACAGTCATGTGTATCTATAGTTAGTATTTAGACTGTCAATAGTGTATATAAGTCTGGATGAGTTGGAGTGTTATGTGTGATCAGGGTAGATGTTAAAAACTCAGCTTCAGCTTAAACCTTTTCAGATGATTTACTTTTGTAGTTGTTGGCCGATTAATGTATTTATCTTATTTATCTATTTTTTTCCTAAATACAGCAAAAATACATGTGTAGTAAAGCAAGATTTTCAAATCATGTTATGAAATCAAGTGTACCTGCAGCTGTTTTCTACAGCTGTTTCCATAGTTACTGGCAAACTGAATAAAATCTGTTCAGAGTTAGTTACCACATCCCAATTACTTTTGTTATTGTTCTCTGTGTACAGCTGTTGCCCTTGACTAGTTTTTACATTTAGTTTTTGGGAAGAAAAATGAGTAAAGCCTGACCAAGGCAAAGAAAAGCATACAGTATATTCTCTTTCTTCCCAGCTCCGTTTATAAGTCTTTACACGACCCGGATTCCTGAATGGATTAAGGGATTATTGAATGCCACTCAGTTTTCTACACTCCATCCTTATAGAAACTGAACCTCGTGTATTTCACAGCTTTTATAAATAGTGATTATTTTCTAAAAGAAAAAACATTTTTTAATGAGTTCATCAACTTCAGTTACTTTATTATTCATCCTGCACCAATTGATATTCTGTTGTTACACAACTCGTGGAGCGGCTCATTGGATGGGAACTGGGTGCTGCATTTCCACAACTACATTCTTCAGTAAAACATTATTTTGCACATATTTCATATTGCAGTCCATACATGCACCGTTTATTTCTTTATTTCATCTTTTTGGCTCATGTTAGAATCATTGTTTGTGGTCATAGCTGTAGCTGTGGTGGTGTTAAAGGTGTTTTGATGGAGAAACAACAATTCATACTGGGGTCTGCAGTTTCTGATTTAGCACAGGCAGACAAGTAAATCACAAGCAGGCACAGTAATGTGTGTAAATGACAGGAAGCAGTTTGAGGTACAGACACACAGCTGAGTGGAGCACATACTTGTTGAAGAGGTGGTTGCTGACTTTTATTTTGGCGCTGGCCTTGAAGTTGTCAGGGAGCAGCATGACAGGCACAGGCACCTGACTCAGCTCGTTGATCTGGATGTGAGGAGCATCGGGGATGAAAAGCTGGTCAACATATTCACATCAATAATAATAATGAACACATGTTGGAGTCAGTGAGCAGCTCACCTACCTACCGAGTGATTGACTCCCCACATCAGGACGCTCAGCACAGTCTCACTGGCTCTGAACACCTCCACCTTCTGCTGCACAAAGTGCTTCTTCTTGGTCTTCCTCTTGGAGGCGCCGGGAGAAGACATGATGTCACAGGTATCCGTGTCTCAGTGGGTGAGTGAGAGAGGACAGGGTGTGTGTAGTCATCTGTGGAGCTCTGTGTGTATGTAAAGTAAGCTTAAGTCCGCCCTGTGGAGTCAGCGCTGCTGCAGCCTGGAGCAGAGTAGAGCTGTGAACTCAACACCTACTGGACCAAACAGCATGATGGTGTTTGGTGGATTCAGTCTAACAACAGTGGAATCAAACAGAGCCATGTCGCTGTGATGAGACAACAGGCAGAAATAATATGTAGCCATTCATACTTTAGAACATTTTACAAGTATCTGTACTTTACTTAAAGGTACAGTGTGTAGAATTGTGTGAGATCTAGTGTTGAAATTGCATGTTGCAGCTGAATGCCCCCTCTCCTTCCAAACATGAAAAAGAAACTGTGGTAGCTTCAGTTGTCACAAAAACTCAAAGGTGTTTAGTTTGTCCAGTCTGGACTAGTGTAAAAAAATATGGCGGCCTCCGCAGAGAGGGCCCCCTTGATGTAAATATATAGTATTTAAATATAAAGGACCTTTTCTGGGGTAAAGAAAACTACAATTCATACAATTTAGATGAAA